GAGATGATAAAAGTTCTGGAGTCATGATAAAGAAGAAGACCAGTCAGCCCCTGCCTCCAGCCAGTGAGCTGCAGACTAGCCCTGAGACCAGCTACAGTGAGGGCAGGTGGGCCTTCATAGAGAAGGAGTGGCGTTTGCCCTGGAAGTCCAGCCTATTGGGTCAGAATGGGAAATTTGTTCTGGTGAGCTGACCCTGTGGTTTTTGTTCTGAGATGCAGCTCATTTCCAGCACACACCTTATTTCCCCTTTCTTTCTGTCACAAAAGACTCCTCCCTGGAGGACATACTTTTGTTCAAAAGCCTTGGTGTGGCAGAGGAACACTTAGAATCTGTTTTATCCATCGCCTCTCTGTTAATTCAGAAAACCTGGGGCAAGGAGTCCTCTATTTTCGTCCCCAAAGCCAATTTGTTTTAAATTAGATATTTAATTCTGTTTTTAAATCGATCTTCATTTCTTAAACCTATTTACCCTCTTCTTGTTCACCTTCAGTACCAATATGCCTTCTCCTCTCCATCCCACGCAGGCAGCTACATAAGCTTTAGGGTCTGGTCGCTCTGAAACCCAGTTCCTCGGATGCCCTATGCTTTTCACTCTTCCCTCACCCACCTCTCGGGCTGACCAGGCTCCCATCTCACTCCTTATCACTGGCTCCTCCTACGGCTTTGGTTCAGGATTCCTTTCCCTCCTATCTTTAATTTCACTATTGCCACTGCGACTTTGTCAAGTCACTTCAAATGCCCATTTCTTAGTCTCCCAAGTTGTAAAATGGGTTGATTATGTCATTTTGTGTATATTGAGAATAAATAAGATGACGTATGAAGATAGCATACACAGGGCACCCTTCCAGAGTAGGTGATACATAGCACTAAATCAGTACATTTTCTTTTCTGTTCTCATTGTTCTTACTTGTCCCCCTCTTTTCCAGACACCAGGCTTTAACCTCTCCTTATAATATTTCCCATTTAACCCTTGGATCTCATTCATTAGTGTCAATCTCTGACTTCCTACATAACAACTCCTCCTATACAATGAAGGCAAAGGACATTACATTATTTTTGTGTCCTCAAAGAGGCTGTCATCTGATAAAAGAAGGAAAAATACTTTTCTCACCAAACTCCCAGCCTAGAATAGCATCACTGTAAATTAGTGTGTACCTTCTTTCCTGTTGCCCTCCTTCCCTTTATCCTTTTCCATTTATTAATCCTTGAAGGTATGCTTAAAAATAGTCTCTAGGTCTTCTTTGGAAGAGCTGGAAGACAACTAGGAGAAAGTCACCTAAACAACTAAAGTGCAATGTATGGAACCGACTGATTCCAGAGAGAAGTGCTGGGGGAGGCTGCTGAAGAAAGTGATCAACTGTATGCACTAGCAAGGAAGGACATCATGGAACCTATGTTTGAGTGACATGTTATGAAGGAGTGGTGGAGGTTGTATTTGTTTTAAAATACAATTTTTAGGTGAACTGAATTCTAGACTGCTTAAGAAAAGAAAACAATAATAACAGAAACAAAACAAGATTTAAAAAAAAAATCAGAGGAATGACCAGGAGAGAAAGACAAGTTAGGGTGTGTCAGGATTTAGAGAGGAGTCAAGTCAGGTTGCTAAATCTCCTCATCGGAGTGTCATAGGCATTAGAAGGTGTGCCATTCAGAGAGGATGCATGTATAGTTGTAAAGAATTTTCCTTTTATCTTGTCGACAAAAATAGTCCATAACCGCTCTATAAATGAAAATTGGGGTGCGTTTATTCTGAGCCAAATGGGACGACCATATAGCCTGCGACATTCCTTCCCTAAGGAAGGAAGGACACCAAAGAAGTGGAGTGTACAGAGTGGTTATATACCCTCAAAGAGCATGTTTCACATATGTTTGAAATGTCCCTTTTACCAATAGTCACAAGATTGCTGTGTTGGCACAGCAATTGATGGACACAGCAGATAGTAAGTCTGTTGTCTCTGTGGACACAGCAGGTAGCAGGTCTGTTGTCTTGAGCTGGGTGGTCGACCTGTGGGTGTGCACAGCGATCAGTTCCTACCTTAGGGAGAGCTGCTTATCCATAAGGAAATGCCAATATGGGGGAAGCTGCATCTTTAAGGCCATTTGTTCTTGTCTTTGGGACATAGCCAATGCTTAAAGCAGATATACAATGCATGCTCTACGGCCACAACTGGTGCTTTTGGAAAAGCAAGGTCAGGCCAAATTAGATTTACACTGAATGGCTTCCTCATATACTCCAATATATCCTATTTCTTGCCATTTATTTGTCAGTCTTAAACAGTGGTGTGGGGAACAAAAGTCACTACTTACCTTATTAATTAAAATTGATGGATGATGTTCGGATGCCACTAACCTCCTCTATACCAGACTATTTTGAAGTGCCAGGGGATATCATGCATGTTAGAATCAGTTTGCTTCACTTTTGTTGTTGTAGTCTCCAAAATTAAGATACTAGCTAATAGACTATGAAGATGTCAAACCCAAAGTTTAGGCTGGCTCCTGGACCACTTTTCCCTCCCCAGAGCCTGCATCATGGCCAGGCATATTCTCTCTCAACTTTTCTGCTCCCTTTTACATGGCAGGTGATACTCAGTACTGACAGTTCTATGCAGTGGCTCACTCCTCATGCAAACATTTTTTTGTTTCTTTGCTTGTTTGTGTTTAATACTCAGAGGAGCTTGTGGAAAGCAACAGACTCTTTTAATCTGTGTGAGATGCAGTGTCCTTGAAGGATCAGGAAGCAGTGTCAAATGATTTTCTAGAGATATTCCAGATACTTGTAGTGACGCAGTATAAGACCAGGATAAACGTACAACGCTGATATCTTCAATCTGGAAAATTTTAGGCAGTTAAGAAATTTGCTTATTTGCAAAATAAATTAAAAAATAAATATTATCCATAAGGATGGGGAGCGAATGATCTGAATGAAAAAAGATATAAAAATTCAATGCCTGATTTATATTGATATAATTATTAGTATTATTATTTCACCAATAGTAACAATTATTGAAAATGTAATGTAGGCTAACTGCTCCCTACACATTAACTTGTTTAAGCCTCAAAACAAGTCTATGGGGCTATGTATTATGATTATGTCTGCTTTACAGGTGGAGAAATGGAGACCCAGACAGAAAGTGACTGAGCCGGGATTCCAGCTGAGAAAACCTGACCCCACGGTCTGCAGTCCTACCTTTTATGCGAACTGCTCTGAAATTCCAAAATACATAACGTGAAATGTGGGATCCATAAATAAGGTATACAATTATAAATGAATAGTGCTAAATAATCCAAGGAAATTTCTAAAAATATATCGAAACATCAAGCACTTTAAACAGGAAGTAAATGACTTAGGCTAATAAGATGCTAAATTGAGGCAAGGAAGGGTTGAGTTGAAAGGGACAGTATACCCCAAATATTAATTAGAGAAGAGATCAACCTCAGAGTATCAGCAACATAAGTGGTTCCTAGTTAAGGGACACCCTTATGTCATCACTAAAGTTTATCCCTCAGTGAGAAGGCATAGTTCTTCATTGAAGATCTAATGTCTCCTGAAATGGCCAATGTTCCTTTCTTATAACTGGTGATTACTGATAGTTTATAAAATTCTTTTATATACATTATTATATTGTCTCCTCTTAATTTTTATTCTATGTGGGATTGTCTTCATATTACAGATTTAAAGTAAGTTCACAGAATAGACCACTGGAAAGAAAAAATCAGGAGTTTAAAATCATATCTGCAGATTCAACTGTATCACATCTTTTAATACCTCCAGCTTCCTCATCTCCAGTACATTCCCTCTTATATCATTCTGGTTTTGCTTGTTTCCAGTTGGGGTGGTCAGATCTATTTTCTATATCTGATAAGTGAGAGAGCAATTTTTTCCTCTCTCATTTTTTTTTTCTAGCACAGAAGTTTGGTTGATCTTCCAACCATCACAGATATATCTGCTTGGTATGCAGAGGTCTTTTCTTTTCACCTTAACAGATATATTTGTTTTAGATAATGTAAACAGATACCAGTTGCCTTCCCAGGCAGGGTTCCAGAAGGCATGAGCACTACTGAGGTGGGCCATCATGGATTAAAATTGCCATTATTTCTGCAGTTTCAGACACATGATCTGAAGGCACTATACTCTAGGTCTCTTGTCCGTGTGTCCAAACACACAGTAAGCATTGGTTAATCACATTGCAATGTGTGTATTCACAACAGGAGAGGAATTTTCCAATGAGTAGAATAATTCTTTCCATTGATGGAATTCCATTGGGCAAAATACATCTTTTCATTAACCTTTATAACTAGACTTTTTTCTACACTCTCTCCCACCATGTGTCAAAACCAAAGTAATCATCCAGGAGGTTGTGGGATGAACATGGAGAACTGAGCCCATTTTAAGGATGTTTTCTCCAGGTAAACCTAGATAATTCTGTGTTTCAAATGGAGAACATTCTTTGATGCTGCTTGGACTGGCAGGGATGGATATTTAGAATCTTTATCTACTGAGCAATTCTACACTGACATTGAAATACTTTTGTTCTTAATCCCTGTCCTCATCTGTAAATTAAAACCCAACATGCTCTAAAAGGGAATTATATAATGTCTGAAAGATTACTGCTTTCTTTATGCCGATGTCTTTGCAATGATATCTTCTTTAAACCACACAATAACATCTCTTTATAGGGATGTGAGAAACATTTAATTCCTAACAAATATACTTAGTGAAACCACTATGGGGATAGTTTGAATTATGAATGATAAAATACTCTACCAGATTTCCTTATTCTGGAGTATACTTTTTTGCAATCATGACTCCACATTTTTATTTAGCATTGAAGACCAAAAGCAACTGGTTATGCACGGGAGGAAGGACATACTTCGGCAGATAGTACCATACAGAGAAATTTGTTGGTCCCTCTGTCTTCAATAATCTTTGTGTGTCTCACTCTAGTTTGCATCCCTGGTCCCTGCCTAGGTTGAATTCCCCAGACTCCAGACTCAGGAAAATGTTCAACAGCAGTCAATTCACCCCAAAATATTTTCTACTGACTGGTCTCCCTGGTCTAGAGGACTTGTACTCTTGGTTTATCTTCCCATTCTGCTTGACATATCTTGTGGCCCTTTTGGGCAATAGTCTGATCCTCACAGTGATCAAGAAAAACACCTCTCTGCACCAGCCGATGTACCTATTCCTAGCTATGCTAGCCTTTGCAGAGCTTGGTGTCTCTGCTTCTACACTGCCCACTGTGCTGGGCATCTTCCTTTTCGGTGCCAATGAGATCTGCTTTGAAGCTTGCCTTTTGCAAATGTTCTCCATACATTCATTTTCCATCCTTGAGTCAGGAGTTCTGCTGGCCATGTCTGTGGACAGCTTTGTGGCCGTCTACAATCCACTGCGGTATACCACCATCCTGACCCTTTCTCGTATTGCTGGCACTGGTGCTGTACTTGGACTGAAGAGTATGATGCTCATGTTTCCACTGCCCTTTCTCCTGAAGCGTCTTCCCTTCTGTGGCCACAACATCCTCTCCCACTCCTATTGTCTTCACTCAGATCTAATCCAGCTGCCCTGTGGGGACACTCATCCCAACAGCATTCTGGGGCTCTGCATTGTTACTTCCACTTTTGGGCTGGACTCGCTGCTCATCATCATCTCGTACGTGCTGATCCTCTACACAGTGCTGGGCATTACCTCTGGGGAGGGACGGTGGAAGGCCCTCAGTACATGTGTATCACATATCTGTGCAGTACTTGTGTACTATGTGCCCATGATTAGTGTCGCTCTGTTGCACCGCTTCAGGAAGCATGCTGCACCTGCTCTCCGACTACTCCTGGCCAATGTCTATCTTCTGGTGCCTCCTGTACTCAATCCCATCATTACAGCATTAAGACCAAGCAGATTCGCCAGGGGCTAATCCAATTCTTTCCTCAAAGAAAATATTAAGGAGATTAGGACCAATGAAGTGGTTACCCTCAAGCCAGGTGGTTATATCACCAAAGGTGGTCTGGGAGGGAGGGAGTGCTCATCACTTGGTCAAAATTAGAAGGCTTAATGATGCTGCATGTTACAGAATGTGTAGAGAACAAACATTTTCGTACACTATATGCTGTAATCTGTATTAGTATAGTATAGTGTTTTTTCTGCTATTTTGTTGTTTGTGTCAACTTAAAATGAACATACTCTTTAACCCAGAAATTCCACTTCTTAGCACTTCTGTAGATTTATACTCTTATGCTTGTTCATGGTCACTTGAATAAGAAGTGAATAAGAGACTTTAATTTGAGTAAGAATTTTCATTTCAGCAATGTTTGATATAAGATTTTAAAAAACTGGAAAAACTAACTGGCCACCAATAGGTAAATAGTTGACCCAGATTAACAGGTGTTCAGTCAGCTGGATATCTTCAGTCAGTTGGAGAATATGATGTGTGAGGTTTCAGAAGTTGTACTGAGTTGAAGTCACTGCAGAATAAATGTTAGTGGGGTAACATGAGAGAGGAAAATTTATTGAGAGCCTTATTTTCCTTGGATTTGTAGGGGCCTGGGTTTACATTGTCCCTATCTCCCTCATAGTAGGATGTTAAGGTTGGTTGTCCCCTGCACCCCCCCCATTCTATTATGCATTAACAGCACCTTTTGTTTCTTGTCATTTCTCCCATAAACATGTCACATTTGTAATCAAGTAATCATCTGTATATGTTTTATTTTTTTATTGTCTCTCTAGCCCAGTACATTTTATGTCCATAAGGCATGGACTGTCTCTTTTGCTTACTACATACAGCCAGGGACTCCTATAATGTCTGGAATATTCTAGCTTTTTAATAAATATTTGGTAAATGCATAAATGAATTATTGAATGAATTAATATGGGTCTACACATATTTCTTTGATTCCTATATTTATTTTACCTCCTTTCTTCTGTGTGTATTAACCCCTCCTATATTTATTTTACCTCCTTTCTTCTGTGTGCATTAACCCCATTTGATGACACTATGTATATCCTTCACTCTTTCTCTCCCCTCTGTTTCTATGTTGACTGCATGTTTTTCCCTGTCTGACCTTTTCAGGTTCTCATTCTAAAGCCAAAAGAATATGCTCCTGGCAAATACTAAGCCCTTCAACTTCTCAGTAAAACATTAATGGTGTTAATGCAAAACTCATGCTCATTCCCATACATGTGCTTCAGTTAAACATTCCTAGTGACATTTGGAGACTTTTGGGAAAACATATATGCATGTTTTAATCTTGACCATACATGGAAAATTTGCGATCATCTTTTAGATATAGTATGTGAAATATAAGACTACATTTGGGAAAGAAGTTTCAAAATAGGAAGGGGATGTGTGAGGCTGTTATCAAAGTTATAAACCTTTCAGTATATTTTATGAATCTTCACAACCCTGTAAGGTAGGTTGTTCACATTATACAAGGGATGGTAGATCATGAAAATAAATTTGAATTCACTTATATCTATCTATGATTTAAAATTCCTCCTCCTTAGATGCTTTGGTAATTGGCCTCAAAATGCAGTGAAGACTAATACGTACTGTTGATTTGAATATAGATTCCCTTTCTCTTATTTTTTTAATTATTATTTTACAAGTTTTCATACACGTAGTTTCTTTCTTTTTCTCATGGGAATATCTCCATATTATTCATAATTCTACTTTTTTCCTTCATAAATATATCAATTCTGCCAAGTCATCGTTCTCCCTTTCATCTCTGCCCCACCCAATAGTATCTCTCCTTGTGGGAGGGAATCTGATGACTGCTAACACTGCGGCTCTTTTCTCTCTTTCTCAGGCATAGTGCAACTCAGTTTAGCATTTTGTAGTGTATACATGTTCCTCCTTGAACAGGACAGGAAGCTTCAGAGAGAGCAGTAGGAATAAAAACTATGTCTTTCCCTTCTACAACTTACAACCTTCCTGTGCCACCCTCTTCACTGAAGATGTAATTTTGATTAGTGGCTCATAACAATGATAATTATATACCTCTAATTTGTCTCAAGTATTCATTCATACACCTGTCTTGCAAAATGGTCTTACTCCGATAAATTTGTGGAGATCTCAACTGAACCATTCGTCTAGGGATTGGACTCATCTTTATGGAAGGTATCCATGTGTACTTCTCCATTGGCATCTGTTATCTACTGTTTGTTATCACCTCTACCTACAGGCTGGACTCATTGCTCATGATGATTCCTACATACTTATTTTTTTGCACAATACTAGACACAATATTTGACATTGTGGTGATAGGGCAGAAGGCCCTCTTCATGTCTGTGTGCTCTTGTACTTAGTGCCAATGATTATTTTCTTCCAGTTGCACTACTTTGGACAGCCAGTCCAATGTTTCTACTCCTATAGGCTGCCATTGTCTATGCCTTTTTTTCTTTCTCCATCTGAAATCCATCCCAGTACCTAAAGCATCAAAATTCAAGAGAGATGCAATAGTGTTTTGCTTGGTGGCACTAAAAAAGAGTTAGGAGATATCAAAGTAGAGAGGATGTTGGGTTCTGGCATCCTGGATCATTCTGGACTGTTGTGATTCCAGTTTGGTATTTATACTAGAGCATGGCTTTGTGTCGTCATTGCTGATTTATAAGCTATCATAGATGGAGGAGAAGTAAGAGTAAAAGGTCCTCCTTCACATGAAAGATTGAAGGCGCTAGAGCAAAAGAGAAAGTGGAATGGAATAGAAATCTGAGCTGAGTTTTTCCTGAATGGAGAGAGTAACAGCATCATTAACATTAAACACCTCAAAAACAAATCAAGTATCACTGGAGAAGGTATGACATGGTCCCATGAGGTTTTAGGATATATAGATTTATTTAACGGGATTTGCTGGGTCAATGTATGTGCATAGCTAATACCCTGAGGCCAATCCCTTTCTCCTTTAAATAGCCTACCCTTCTGCACAAACTAGGTGAATCCAAAATGCTAGTGTAGATTAATGGTCAACAAAAAGAGATATGGATTATTTTTTTACTACATCAAGCTGTACTTAGATTTTGTTTCTAATCAAAGTGATTTTTCTTTCAATACAATTCATCTATTGATTAGATAAAAAACTAGGTCACTTCATGATTCTAATCTGAATCTGATACATATATTATTATATACTTCAAGCTTTCTATATTCTTGGAATTGCTCAGACACATTACATACCTGTATTCAACATTTATTAAAATGTTTTTATTACTCACCTTGAAGATTGAGAATTAGGTAAAATTAGTTTCTAACTATGAAAGAAAATTTTTCTATATGACATCAAAATTTTCTTTTCTTGGAAAATGAAAGATAAGAAAACTGTCATGCTAAGAATATTTGGGTTAGATGTAGAAAACCTTTTTATTGCAATGATATGCAAAACAAGGGAAATGTCTTCTATTATCAAACTCATTATTAAAATTGGTTTTGATTTAGACACTAGAAGAGTCTAGCATTACTTTTTGTCTTTGATTCGTGGTTGCTTTCAGAAGTGGTCATGAGTGAGATTATGGAATTGAGCCTCTTTATTCATCTTCCAACCAGCCAATGGCTTTAAACAAGCTCTGTATCCTTTTTTTTCTTTTTTTCCGAGGAAGATTAGCCCTGAGCTAACTACTGCCAGTCCTTCTCTTTTTGCTGAGGAAGCCTGGCCCTGATCTAACATCCGTGCCCATCTTCCTCTACTTTATACGTGGCATGCCAAGCGGTGCCCTGTCCACACCCGGGTTCCGAACCGGTGAACCCAAGGCCGCAGAGAAGCAGAAAGTGCGAACTTAACCACTGCGCAACCGGGCCAGCCCCCACAGGCTTTGTATCCTTGATCTTTTTCTCATTCCAAGACATATCTATAATACCAGTTAGAATGAAAACCAAAGGCATTTTCTCTGTTCCAAAGAAACACTTACTAGGTAATAGTCAGGATTCATTAAATTCTGTGCTTGCCAAGAATCAGGGGTGATTTCCCTCTAAGCTATGCCCAATGTGTAATTTAATTTTTTTATTTAATTTTATTTATTTGTCTATTTTGAGGAAGATTAGCTCTGAGCTAACATCCACTGCCAATGCTACTCTTTTTGCTGAGGAAGATTGACCCTGAGCTGACATCTCTGCCCACATTCCTCTATACGTGGGACACCTGCCACAGCATGGTTTGACAAGCTGTATGTAGGTCCATGCAGGCAATCCGAACTGGCAAACCCTAGGCCGCTGAAGCAGAGCACGTGAACTTAGTCGCTATGCCACTGGGCTGGCCCTAATATAATTTTTAATAGATAGAAAATTGCGTATATCAGAAACCCTAAACAGCATTTAAATAGGTGTTTTTGTCCTATCTCACAATTCTCTACTTAATATCTAGTAAATAAAATTGCAAAATCACATTATTTCCAGTCCTCTACTTATAAAAGTTCTATATGTTCCACCACATTACATGCTTCAATTTTTAGCAACAAACACAGAGTTTGGCCCACCTCTGAGCATCTGCATTAAAGAGGAGAGTGTCGACGAAAATAATCCATAACCAATCTATAAATGAAATTTGGGTGAGTTTATTCTGAGCTTAAATCTGAGGATTATAACCCGGGAGTGTCTTTCCACAAAGGATCAGAGCACTCCAAAGAAGTGGGAGTATACAGGGTGGTTATATACCCTCAAAGAGTATGTTTCACATATGATTGAAATGTCCCTTTTACAATAGTCACTAGGCTGCTCTGTCAGCACAGTGATTGATGGAAAAGGCAGATAGGTCTGCTGTCTCAGTGAATGCCACGGGGGTGGCCAGGTGGTCACAGATGAGTGCTGCAATTGGTTCCCAGCCTAAAGAAAGATGCTTAATCTTTAAGGAGATGCCAATGTTGGGAGGGGGAGGGAAGTTGTACCTTTACCTCAAGGGCCTTTGCTCTTGCCATAGGGAATATCTAAAG